CTTGGTCACACACAGTCCCGCTGCTTCGCCCGTCTGAGCGACGACTGGCGCACAGTGTTTGGCGACGAGGCTGAGCTCCCCACCTGGCTGGAGCTGCATAGACAGAGGGTAGATATCTTTGCGCTTGACTATGATGCTATTCTCACTGCCATGTATGCATTGTCTACTAGTGCTGACCGTGCCTGTTGCCTGTGCGTACCGCCTGACCCTGGTGAGGCTGCTGCCCTAGGTGCTAGTGCGTCTCCTGCTCTAGGTGCTGGTGAGGCTGCTGCTCTCGGTGCTAGTACGTCTACTGCTCTAGGTACTGGTGAGGCCGTGGCATCAGGTGCTGCTGTGTCTGCTCTCTCTGGTACTGCGCCCACTGCGGTCTCGCACACCTTCACCCTTGACTCAGGAGCTTCCCGCTCCTTCTTTCGCGACTGCACCGCACTCACGCCGCTCCGTCGGCCAGTCCCGGTCTCCCTGGCGGACCCCTCTGGGGGTCCAGTCCTTGCCCACTATTCCACGGTTCTGCCGTGTCCGGCCGTCCCGTCCGGCTCGCTGTCAGGTCTTTACCTCCCCTCGTTCTCTACGAACTTGGTGAGTGGAGCTGACCTCCAGGATGGGGGGGTTGACCAGTTCACTCCTGCGAGTCAGCGAGTGACTCACTGTACGTGTGCTAGGACGGGCCGGCACTTGGCCACGTTCACCCGTGCACCTGGCTCGAGTCTGTACACACTGACCACTGAGTCCCCTCAGGTAGCTGCGTCTGCGTTTGCGTCTGCGTCTGGTCAGCTGGCGGCCCCCTGCGAGTGTCGCGCTTTGTCGCACGACACTCTCCTGTGGCACCACCGCCTTGGTCACCCCTCCTTGCCTCGCCTGCGTAGCATGCACTCTCGCTCCCTGGTCTCTGGTCTTCCCAGGTCCCTGCCTGCCCTCCCTCCCTCGCCTGCGCCGCCCTGCATTCCTTGCGTCGAGGGGCGGCAGCGCGCCGCTCCTCACTCCTCCTCGTTTCCTCCCACAGAGGCTCCACTGCAGACGCTCCACCTGGACGTGTGGGGCCCAGCCCGCGTCCAGGGACAGGGCCGCGAGCGGTACTTCCTGCTGGTCGTCGACGACTACACGCGTTACACCACGGTCTTCCCCTTGCAGAGCAAGGGGGACGTCCCTGCTGTTTTGATCCCCTGGATCCGCGCTGTTCGTCTCCAGCTCCGCGAGCGGTTCCGGTCGGACTTTCCTGTCCTGCGTCTGCACTCTGACAGAGGTGGTGAGTTCTCCTCCGACCTCTTGGCAGCCTACTGTGCGGAGCACGGCATCACCCAGTCGTTCACGCTTCCGGCCTCTCCGCAGCAGAATGGGGTTGCTGAGCGCCGCATTGGCTTAGTCATGGAGGTCGCTCGTACCTCCATGATCCATGCGGCTGCCCCCCATTTTCTGTGGCCGTTTGCGGTCCGGTACGCCGCGCATCAGCTCAACCTCTGGCCCCGTGTCTCCTTGCCGGAGACCTCGCCCACACTGCTGTGGACGGGGAAGGTTGGCGATGCGTCGCGTTTCCGGGTCTGGGGTGCTCGTGCCTTTGTCCGCGATACCACCGCGGACAAGCTCTCCGCCCGCGCTGTTCCCTGTGTCTTCCTTGGCTTTGTCCCTGACGCGCCTGGTTGGCAGTTTTACCACCCCACCTCGCGCCGTGTCTTTGCGTCTCAGGACGTCACGTTCGACGAGTCGGTTCCCTTTTACTGTCTCTTCCCCTACCGCACTGCCTCGCTCCCCCCCCCGCCGCTCTTCCTTGCTCCAGGTGCTCCCCAGGTAGACCCCCTCCCCGCTCCCGGTCCTGCTCCTTCAGGTGTTTCTCAGGTAGACCCTCCTCCCTTGACTGCGCCGGTTGAGGTCACTGGTGACTCAGGTCCTCCTGCGAGTGGTCCTGCTCGGGGTGCTGAGCCTGGGGGTGCGGAGCCTGGGGGTGCTGAGTCTGGGGGTACTGAGCCTGAGGGTGCGGAGCTTGAGGGTGTAGAGCCTGGTGGTGCTGAGGCTGCGTGTGAGGGGTCTGAGGGTGTTGAGCTTGGCGGTACTGACGCTGGAGGTTCTGGAGCTACTGAGGGTGCTGGCGCTGGAGGTTCAGGAGCTGCTGGAGGGCCTAGTCCTGGTGGCGCTGGAGCTGGAGGTCCTGGAGCTGTTGAGGGTGCTCGCGCTGGAGGTTCTGGAGTCGCTGGAGGTACTGGTGCTGAGGGTACTGACACCGGAGGTTCTGGAGCCGTTGGGGGTGCGGGCGCTGAGGGTTCTGAGTCTGCTGTTGCGCGGTCTCCTTGGAGTGGCCGCCTTCGTCCCCGTGTGCCTCTCACCCCACAGCAGCTGCAGGACTGGTACGGTCGCCGTCAGCGTCGCGCTGCTGGAGCTCGGAGTCGTGCTGGTCCTTTGTCTACTGGAGGTGCTGGAGTTGCTGGTTCTGGAGGGGCTCGTGCTGGAGACACTGAGGCTGGAGACCCTGGGACTGGAGGTGCTGGTTCTGGGGGTGCTGCTGCTGGAGACGCTGAGGTTGGAGACCCTGGAGCTGGAGGTGCTGGTTCTGGGGGTGCTGCTGCTGGAGACACAGAGGTTGGAGACCCTGGGACTCGAGGTGTCGGCTCTGGGCCTGGAGCTTCTGGAGCTGCTGGAGGTACTGGAGCTGCTGGAGGTACTGGAGCTGCTGGAGGCACTGGAGCTGCTGGAGCTGCTGGTTCTGGTGCAGCTGCGCCGACACGACTGTTCTTCGCTCCGCCGTCTCCGTCGTCTCTGCCGCCGTCTGCCTCTGTTCTTCGTCAGGTTCTTACTCTTCCGTCGTCTACTGGTCTTCCGTTACAGACTGGCTCGCCGCTGCCTGCTCCTTCTCCTTACGCTGAGCTGACTGGTAGTCCTGCTGTGCGTCGTGAGCCTGCGTCGCGTCCTGTCTCGCCTGCTCGTCCTGGTCGTACCGGTCCTCGTGTTCCTCGTTCGCGTCCGCCGGCTGTCCCCAGCGCGCACCTCGTAGTCCGTCGTCCTTCCTCTGTTCCGCAGCCTGTTCCTCTGCCGTCTCCTCCTGCGTCCTCTTTGCCTGACGTTCCGGACCCTGCGTCTGACCGGTTTCGTGCTCAGCACCCTACTGTCACGCGTCTACTAGCCACAGTTGTCACTGACCTGTCGTTTGAGTCTGCTGCTGCGTCTGCTCTTGTCGCTGAGCTTGTTGACTTTGCTGCTGCCTGTCGTCTAGACTTCACTGCCAGTCTTGTTACTGAGTCTGAGTCTGTCTGTCCTCCGTCCGTCGGGGGTGAGTGTGCTCTTAGCACGGACGTCCTTGAGGACAGGCAGGAGGAGTTCCAGTGCCTTGCTGCTGCTTTACCTCATCTTGTGTCCTCGCTACTTGCCCCTGAGGGAGACCCGGATGCACCAGACATCCCGACTCCGCGCTCTTACGCAGAGGCGATAGAGGGTCCCTACTCCTCTCAGTGGCAGGCAGCCATGGACGCAGAGATGGCTTCCTGGAAGTCCACAGGCACCTACGTTGACGAGGTTCCCCCACCTGGGGCGAACATCGTCAGTGGCATGTGGATTTTCAGGGTGAAGCGGCCGCCGGGTTCTCCGCCTGTCTTCAAGGCGCGTTACGTGGCTCGAGGCTTCAGTCAGCGAGAGGGAGTTGACTTCTTCCAGACCTTCTCCCCCACTCCGAAGATGACCACTCTTCGGGTACTGCTGCACGTTGCTGCTCACCGTGACTACGAGCTTCACTCTCTTGACTTCAGCACAGCTTTCCTGCAGGGCAGCCTGCACGAGGAGATCTGGCTGCGCCGCCCCCCGGGCTTCACTGGGTCGTTCCCTCCTGGTACCCAGTGGAGCCTCCGGCGGCCGGTCTACGGTCTCCGCCAGGCGCCACGTGAGTGGCACGACACACTGAGGACTACGCTTGCGGCTCTTGGGTTTGCGCCTTCTACTGCTGACCCGTCGCTGTTTCTGCGCACCGACACTTCACTGCCGCCGTTCTACATCCTCGTGTATGTCGACGACTTGGTTTTTGCCACTGCTGACACTGAGGCTCTCGCCCACGTGAAGTTGGAGCTGCAGAAGAGACACACGTGCACAGACTTGGGTGAGCTGCGCAGCTACCTTGGCTTGCAGATCACCCGAGACAGAGCACGTCGCACCATCACCTTGACTCAGTCACACATGGTGCAGCAGGTCCTTCAGCGCTTCGGCTTCACCTGGTCTTCAGCACAGGCCACTCCTCTGGCTACAGGTCACACGCTCTCAGCTCCACCTTCGGACGAGTCCGTAGAGCCGAGTGGTCCTTACCCAGAGCTAGTCGGCTGCCTCATGTACCTGATGACTTGCACTCGACCTGACCTCGCGTACCCTCTTGGTCTCCTGGCTCGCTACGTGGCTCCTGGTCGGCACCGACCTGAGCACATGGCTGCTGCTAAGAGGGTACTGCGTTACTTGTGCAGCACATCAGGCATGGGGCTAGTGCTTGGAGGGACGAGCCCAGTTGTCCTCACTGGGCACTCAGACGCTTCTTGGGTTGACGACCTGGCTACTCAGCGGTCGTCAAAGGGTTACACCTTCAGCCTTGGCTCTGGTTCAGTTTCGTGGCGTTCTACACGCTCGACTTCAGTTCTCGGCTCCAGTTGTGAGGCTGAGATCTACGCCACCGCCATGGCTGCACAGGAGTTACGCTGGCTCACCTACCTGCTGACTGACTTGGGAGAGCAGCCTCGTTCTCCTCCAGTGCTGTACGTTGACAACAAGGCCGCCATTGCCTTGTGTGAGGAGCACAGACTGGAGCACAGAACGAAGCACATTGCTCTGCGGTACTTCCTGGCTCGAGAGTTGCAGCAGCGAGGCCAGCTTCGTCTTCGCCACGTGGCCACTCGGGCCAACACTGCTGACATTGTCAAATGTTAATGTTATGATAGGCTGCAGTGAGGCACTCCCTAAAGGGTACAACATTTGTAGGACTCCTATTTGTATGCTTGCAAACCCTAATTCCAATCATTCCGTTGCATGTAGACTTTGAGATGGTATCACGAGTAGGTATCGATCCTCCGTCACGCCTAGCGCCCTCCGCGCTCTCCGCGCTCCTAGCGCCCTCTCGCGCCTTAGCGCGGCCCTCAGCCCGCCCCACGTCGCGCCCCTTAGTAACCCCCCCCACCGTGCCCTCCCCTTCCCCTCCCCGTCGCGTTACCTCCCGTCCCCCTGCCCGTCGCGTCGCCTCCCTTCCCCCTGCCCGTCGCGTCAACCGTCGCCCAGGCCCGCGCGTAGCCCGTCGCCCAGGCCCGCGCCTAGCCCGTCGCCCAGGCCCGCGCGTAGCCCGTCGCCCAGGCCCGCGCGTAGCCCGTCGCCCAGGCCCGCGCCTAGCCCGTCGCCCAGGCCCGCGCGTAGCCCGTCGCCCAGGCCCGCGCCTAGCCCGTACGCCCTGGCCCCCGCCCATCCCCACCGTCAAAACCGCCCACCCGCCCTTTCCCACCGTCCAAACCGCCCTCCCGCCCATTCCCACCGTCGAAACCGCCCTCCCCGCCCATTCCCACCGTCAAAACCGCCCTCCCGCCCATTCCCACCGTCAAAACCGCCCTCCCCTCCCCTCTCTCACTGTTCATCACCTTAGCCCCACCGCCGCCTTGTGCGCGAGGCCCTCCCCAAATCTGATGACACTGGACTATCCCTCAGCGGCTGGCAGCCGCTCTCCCTCGCCGGTCACCTAGGTTAGAGCCGTTTTAGCCACTCATACCTCGCTCCTCGCACCTGTAGCTGGCGATCCACGATTTCACGCCTAGTCTATGTCCTCCTCCTCCTCGTTCTTAGCTCCGCCTCCGCCGTGCTCCAGCCGCCTCTAGCATGGGCTCCGCTATGGAGGCCCGTCGCCTCCGTTTCGATGCGGAGGGACGCCCAATCGAGTTCGGTACCTGGCAGCGCCAGACCACACGCTTCCTCACCAGCCAGCGACAGGACGGCGCCACTCTGTGGGCTCACGCGTCTGGTGCCCTACAGGCCCCCCCGTCCCCCGCCGCCCTGCCGACCACCCCGGAGCCGACCCCTACGGCCCAGGCGGAGTACGACCGTCGGGTCCTGGCCAGGGACGTGTGGCTCTCGCGTGACGCTGCCGCCGCTCTCACACTGTCGGAGCTTCTCCCCCCGACTGAGGCCGCCCACTTTGACCAGGTGGAGACAGCCAAGGGGGTGTGGGATGCTATTGTTGCCCGCTACTCCACCCCCTCCTCCGCCTCCCTCAGTCGCCTCCTCATGCCGTTTGTGTTTCCCGACCTAGGCTCGTTTGCCACTGTTTCCGACCTAGTGACTCACCTCCGCTCGCTTGACGCCGGTTTTCGTGCTGCCTGTACCGACGCACAGCTCCTTGTTGCTCCCCCCCCCATGTGGCTCACTGTACACTGGTTAGTCACCCGCCTCCCTGACCGCCTTGCCACTGCCCGCGACGCGCTTCTTCAGAAGCACCCCACTGAGCTCACTATAGACCTCCTTCAGACTGCTCTCGGGACCATCGAGAGCAGCCTCCTCACCGTTGCCTCCGCCACTGATGCGGTGGCCCCCCGTCTCTTTGCGGGGTGTGCCGCCCCTCAGCTTCCCACTTTCACTGCTACCCGCGCTTCTGCTGCTGTGTCGGTTTCTGAGGACACCGCTGCCGTTTCTGCCGCAGACTGGCAGAAACGGGGCAAGAGTGGCAAGAAGGGCGGAAAGGGGGGAGGTGGGGGCGGTGGAGGCGGCGGTGGAGGTGGCGGTGGAGGTGGGAGCGGCGGTGGTGGCGGAGGCGGCGGAGGCGGCGGCGGTGGTGCACCAGGGGGAGGGGGCCCTGGAGGAGGTGCTGGACAGACAGGCCCACCCACAGGTGGAGGCCCGACCGGTGGGGGCGTTCCCCCACAGCAGCAGCAGCCACAGCAGCACCACCCGCAGCAGGGACAGCAGCAGCAGCAGGGACAGCAGCAGCAGCAGGCACCGCAGCAGTTCCAGCAGTGGGGGCCCCCGCTGCAGTGGGGTCCGCAGCAGCACTGGGGTCCCCCGCCGCAGTGGGGTCCGGGAGGCCCTGGGAGCACCAGCCGCAGCAGCAGTACTTCCAGCTGGGCCCCTCGCCCCCCTCGCCGTGACGCTGGCCCGTGCACTCACTGGTGCGTCACCGGGCCGGGTAGCCCCTGTCTCTGTGGTCGCGACGACCACTCTGCCGCGCGGTGCTTCCGCCGCCTCGACGACCTCTACCGGGCTCGTTGGGGCCCTTTGGCGAGCACGCCTCGCTGGTCTCGTCTGTTAGCCCGTAAGATTGATGTATTTGCTTTGTCCATGGACGATGCGCGTCAATATGCTTTGTATGTTGATGCTGACTCTAGTGCTGATGGATCTGTGTGCTCGCGTGTTCGTAGGTTAGACTGCTTGCCTCCTGCTAGTGTAGCCTTGTGCCTGTCTAGATTAGGTGCTTGTGTTGCTGCTCTAGGTGCTTGTGTAGCGACTGGGTCGAGTGACCCACCGGCTGAGGCCTCTCTTTCGTTCACGCTGGACTCGGGCGCGTCTCAGTGTTTCTTCCGCGACCGCACGACCCTTACGCCTCTCCTCACACCTGTGTCGGTGGCTCTGGCTGATCCTACCTCTGGACCAGCCGTTGCGCGTAGCTCCACCACCCTCCCGTGCCCTGTGGTCCCCTCTGGTGTCCTGCGTGGCCTCCACATCCCCTCGTTCACTCGGAACTTGGTGGGTGTTGGATACCTTCAGGACAGGGGGATCACGGTTACCTTCTTGGGGGGTGGGCGGACTGCAGTCTGTACTGACGCTACCACAGGTGCTGTTCTGGCCACGTTCACCAGGGAGCCCCGCTCCGGTCTCTACGTTCTCCACACCGAGCGCTCCCCGGTCGCGTCCTCCCCTCCGGTTGTTGCGTCCCCTCCGACCCAGGTCCCCAGTCCAGTGGCTGTGTCTAGCCAGGTAGTCGTGTCCAGTCCGGTCGCTGTGTCCAGTCCAGTCGCTGCGTCTTGCTCCTGTCGCTCTCTCGCCCACCGCACCGTTCTGTGGCACCACCGTCTTGGCCACCCGTCGATCCCTCGCCTTCGTGGCATGCTCAGTCACGGACTAGTCACAGGTCTCCCACGCACCTTCCCGTCGCTCCCTCTCTCGCTTGCCCCTCCTTGCTCTCCGTGCGTCGCCGGTCGCTTACGCGCCACTCCCCACTCCTCCTCCCTTCGTCCGGCCACCGCTCCCTTCGAGACTCTCCACTTGGACGTCTGGGGCCCTGCCCCGACGCAGGGGTCTGGGAGGGAGCGTTACTTTCTGGTGGTCGTCGACGACTTCTCCAGGTACACCACAGTGTTCCCTCTTGCGAAGAAGTCCGAGGTGACTGCTACGCTGATCAGGTGGCTTCTAGCCACTGAGGGCACTCGTGGTCGTCGAGTCAGTTGTCTCCACTCCGACCGTGGGGGCGAGTTTCGCTCCGGCATTCTCGGCGGATTCTGCGGCGAACAGGGCATCACCCAGTCCTGGACTCTGCCAGAGTCCCCACAGCAGAATGGGGTTGCTGAGCGCCGCATAGGCTTGGTCATGGACATCGCCCGCACGTCCATGATCCATGCCCGTGCGCCCCATTTTCTGTGGCCCCACGCGGTTCGCTACGCCGCACACCAGCTGAACCTCCAGCCGCGTGTCTCGCGGCCCGAGGCTTCACCGACCAGTCTTTGGACTGGTTCCCCTGGTGTCGGGTCGGCCTTTCGAGTCTGGGGCTGCCTTGCGCAGGTCCGCGACACCTCTGCGGACAAGCTCTCGGCACGCGCCATTCCCTGTGTCTTCCTTGGTTTCCCGGTAGACTCGGCCGACTGGTCCTTCTACCACCCGCCCCTCCACCAGTTCCTAGACTCCCGTGACGTCCGGTTTGACGAGTCCGTGTCCTACTACACCCGGTACCCTTGTCGAGGTCTCCCGGTACCCCCTCCCCCTCTTTTCCTCGCACCCTCTCCTCCTCCTGCTCCCGCTCCTCCGGTACCCCTGCCCCCCCCTGGTCCTGCCCCGTCTGGTGTGTCTCACGCTACCCCTCTACCCTCGGTCGCGCGTCAGGTAGCGTCTCCCTCCCCGCAGTCCTCCTCACAGCCCCCTCAGCAGCCTTCGGCGCTTCCGCGACAGGTTCCTGTGGACTCGGTTGGTGTTGGAGCTGGAGGTGCAGCTTCTAGCGGTGCTCGGTCTGGGGGCGCTAGCTCTGGGGGTGCTGGAGCTGGAGGTGCTGGCGCAGGCGGCGCTAGCTCTGGGGGTGCTGGAGCTGGAGGTGCTGGCGCAGGTGGCGCTGGCTCTGGGGGTGCTGGAGCTGGAGGTACTGGCACTAGAGGTGCTAGTTCTGGGGGTGCTGGAGTTGGAGGTGCTGGCGCTGGCGGTGCTAGTTCTGGGGGAGCTGAGTCTGAGGAGACTGACGCTGGAGGCCCTGGTTCTGCGGAGTCCACTCCGCCTCCCCACCGCCACGACACGCGTCTCCAGGCTGCCCGTCGGCGTGAGCGTGAGGAGCAGGAGCGGCTGGAGAGGGAGCGGCAGGAGCTGCGGGTGCTGGACCTTCTGGAGCAGCAGCGCCAGCAGCAGCAGCAGCAGCAGCAGCAGCAGCAGCAGCAGCAGCAGCCGCAGCAGCAGCCGCAGCCGCCGCCGCAGCCGCAGCAGCAGCAGCAGCAGCCGCCTCCGCAGCTTCCTCTTGAGCGGCAGTTGTTCCCACCTGTGAGTGGCCTGCGGGCCCTTGGCCTTTCCTCCTCTCCTCCTGTCCGCTCCCAGTCTCCTCCTGTGTTTGTTTCTCCGTTGCCTCCTCCTGACGACCGTCCGGCGGTCTGGTCTTCTCCTCCTCCTTCTGTCCGTCGCGACTTGGTCACCCGTTGTTCGCCGCGTGCTCGTCACTCGTCCCCTGTTACTGACCTCCACACTGCCCTCCTTTGTTCGTCTCGTCGTCGTTCTCCTTCTCCTGAGTCCGTTCTCCCGTCTCCTCCTCCGTCCTCTCTCCCTTCCCTCCCCACTCCTATCACCGACTACTACCGCGCTGTTCGTCCTGTTGCCGCACGTGTCCTCGCCACTCTTGTCACCGACTCTCGTTTCCCTCCGTCGTCGGTCTCTGCTCTCACTGCCGCTGTCGCTGAGTTTGCTGCCGCCAGCCGCCTTGACTACGCCACCCGTGTGGTGCCAGCTCCTCCCTACCGTCCTCTGTCCGTCGGGGGTGAGTTTGCCCTTGGCTGTGACGTCCTAGAGGACAGAGAGTCTGAGCTGGAGTACTGGGCAGCCGCTTCTCCCTCTGTGTGTGCCATGCTGCTCTCCCCTGAGGGAGACCCCGACGCCCTTGACATACCGACTCCTCGCACTTACCGCGAGGCAGTGTCAGGGGCGTGGGCCTCTCAGTGGAAAGCGGCTATGGACTCAGAGTTGGCGTCTTGGAGATCCACAGGCACCTACGTCGACGCAGTTCCCCCTCCCAGGGCGAACGTAGTCGATGGCATGTGGCTCTTCAAGGTGAAGCGGCCGCCTGGAGCACCGCCGGTGTTCAAGGCGCGCTACGTGGCTAGGGGCTTCAGTCAGCGTGAGGGAGTTGACTTCTTCCAGACCTTCGCCCCGACCCCGAAGATGACTACTCTTCGGGTGTTACTCCACATAGCAGCGCAGCGAGACTACGAGCTGCACTCCCTCGACTTCTCCACTGCGTTCCTCCAGGGCCGACTGCACGAGGAGATCTGGCTGCGCCGTCCTCCTGGTTTCA